GGGGGGGCGAGTTTATCAAGCAATGTTGTTTTAGAAACGCTAAACGGACGCTAACAAGGCAATACGGACGACAGCTAACTGACCTCACCCCCTGTCGGAACATCAAGAAACGGCAGTACAGTAACACTGAGAAAGAAAAGAGAGAAAGGAGCTCTGTAAAATGTTTAATTGAGCAACAAAAACTTTGGGTGATGGTTTGACACATTTTTTCCGTAATTGGCACTTTTTGTAACAAAACAATATAGCAACGTTGAAGTATTTTTATCTACAAATACTTCCATTGTGCACTTTTAAAGTCTGATGAGAGAAGTCAGTTTTACTAGGATAGCTAGAACCCCTACATGGACCCATTCACCGACTTGTATCTACTGGATTTCCAAATACATAACTACTGTAATAACACAAATATAGATTTATAATCTGTGAGAAAGCTGATTCTAGATTTCCTGCTTTCTTCCACAATAAATGATTCCGACTTTGAGGTTATGTTTTGTGGAGCGCGTTGTACAGATCTATCTGGAAATGCTCTGCTCCACCGAACACCGCGCGCTGCACGATGTAAAAGGCACAGATGACGACGGCTGAGATGAGAAAAGATGTCGAGGTGGCCATCAGATACGGTACGACAAGTATAACAGTCAGGAAGAAAGGTACTGAAAGCCAGAGGAGGGCTCTCATTTTTAGTTCTCGCAGCGGATCGCCCGATGTTCCTCCCTCCAGCACATTTGTGTCAGGAAACTTCTTCTTCTGATAGAATTCCTTCAGCTGCAGTTCCTTCTGCGCCCACAGGGTGGTGCACCACTGCTCGAGTTGCCCGGGGGATGTGGGGAGGGTGTGGAGGGGGTGGCGCCGCACCTGGAAGTGGACCTCCTCCGGGAAGCGGCCGGCGAGCAGGTCCGCCTCCCTCTGAGCCTTCCCGTTAGGATAGCCGACTGTGATGTCATGGATGGCGTCGAGATTGTGCTCTGCAATTTACACACAACACCCATATATAACATTAGCCTGATGTCCATCATATACATGTAATCAAGGTAAGGTTCACACCTTTCATCCATTACCTGCCAAATGGCCTACAGTGAAGCGATTAGAATAGCGTATTGGAGCGGGAATAGCTACGTTGAATGCGTACCGTATATACATGATGTATATACCAGGCTAACATTACATGAAATGACAGCTACAAATAACTTCTTAAGTTATTTTCTGATCAAGTTTCAGAAGCGTTGTCAAGTCATCCAATCTCTTTTCAGGGTTGCTTCATACCAATGTTTAGCCTCTACCAGGCTCCGCGGATCGCTGGAAAAATAGTAGAAATTGGCCGAAATAAAGGGA